ACTGAAACTTTGCTAAAAACGTTGTCGATGCTTATGTACTGAATAAAAGAACAGCTCAGCATTTGGGTGGGAGACAGAGAAACGGGGACAGAAACAGGGGCTACCCTTGATTTCATCGGCCTGTTAGTGATTTGGCTTTCAAGTGGCTACATAGCAGGATGTCGAAGATTGAGAACCTTACATCGGTGGAGGCCGGAGAGGACTGGCCGTGGTGGACACGTGACATTGGCGCGTGCTCGCGGCCGGCCACGTTCGCCCAGCGGTTGATTTATGCAGACTGACATCCAACAACAGTGAATGGAGGTCGCGCGTGCAGGACCTGCTGGAGGGGCTTCAGGAGCACGGGGATGAGCACCTCCAGGCAGCCAGCATTCTCGGCGATGCTGGTGCCGATGGCTCAGCACGGGCACCATGCGTTGTTGGCTACCTCAAAGCCGTGGCCCATGGAATCGGATCCGCTGCAGCTGGTTCCAGCCTCCAGGGAACAACCATGGCGTCCTCTAGTGCAGCCGCTCTTGAGCCCGACCATGTTGTCCTATTATGCTCGATCCCCGAACGCCTCCAGCCGCGAGCGAGGAGAGCGCGCTCGATCCCCGACACCTCCGCGCACCAAGACCCACCTAGCGCCGATGGCCGGCAAGCAGCAGCACCAGGACCACGCCGCACCTCACCTCTACCTACGGCCTCCCATCTCCTTCCTCCCGCCCTCCCTTTTCTCTCCGCTATCGCCCTCCTGCAGACGCTGGACATGCCGCCGGTCGCGTGCGACTGGGACTATCCGGTGAGGAGCTCCAGCAGGAGCACGCCCAGGGAGTAGACGGCACCTCCGGGGCGCGGTAGCCGTCGGCTACCACACGGACGAATGTCGGCCTGTAGGTGGAGTAGAGCGCGACGCCGCCCCTCACCTTCTCGTCCTCTGCCGCGCTGGAAAGGAGTCGGAGGTTGGGCCAAAGACGGCCGGGGATGGAGGCAGGTTGCGACACGTCCTCCGGACGCCGCGAAGCCTCCTGCAGCGCGCTCGCCCACGAGCCCATCCGGAGCTGTCGCCGCCGCGAAGAGTGCCGCCCCACCGCGCCGGAAAGGAAGCATGTGGATAAGATAGAACAAAGGGTCACGGGCCAAATTCTTACAAACATAGGGTTCTTTTTGTAAAAATGAATCGTTATCTCAGATCCACTTAAACAGGGACTGCGGGTTGAATTCTCACAAGCAGAGGGGCTTTTCTGCAAAATCGCTGACGACGTACGACCAGAAGCAATAAGCGCTTTATTAGTAGGGAAAGATAGGGGAGATTAACAGTTTTATTTTATGCTATTTTCTAATACATGAATATTTTTTGAATTGACAAAATTTTGTGAAATTTTAAAACATTTTTAAATACATGAACTTTTTTAGAAAAACTCATTAATGTATGTTTGTTTTCCGGACATTTATTAGAAAATTTGCTAATATTTTGAAAAATCACAAACAATTTCTAAAGCCGCAAACATTTATGATTTATTAAATATTATTTTAAAATTCACAGTTTCAAATTTTGGAAACCTTTTCAAATTCACAAATTATTTCAAGTAGACAAAAAGCAATGACGGAAAATAAAAATAAAAAATAAAAAATTGATCACCCATATATAGGTCGGCCCAGGCAAGGTGTGTCTTTTTCTGTGCGCTGGGCGTAGTATTAGGTATTCTGAAATGGGCCGGCCCAGTCCGAATTTTTCTGTGTGCAACGTTTTTTATAACTTATAGGTGGCATTGGTGGGTAATTTTTTCCAACTTCGGGGGCAATTTTAATGACGTACGGGCAGAAGCACTCCGTGCTTTATTATTATTAGGGGAGAGGGGTGATACGGAAACAATCGGAGAACGACACGAAAAATAGGTTTTTGATTAGTACCACCTCGCATATTAATTGTTGGTTAAAATCTACATGGATTTTTGCGTAAAAACGCCGTGACGGTGAACCCGGAGACCCAATTCGTACTTTATTATTAAGGGAGAGATTAAACAATATGGTTTTCGCTCGATTTTCTGTAGTTAACTGATCAACTATTTTTTTCTTAATTAATGCTGAATCCTGCCATTTAAAGGAAAACAATACAAGGGAGAACCGAAGCTCGAATGATTCTTGTTCTCTGGTCACAAAGACAGGCCTAACTAGCCGAAAGTGGCTTTTACATATGAAAGTTACATATCTTCTCGTTCTGGTAAGCTGATCGTTGGTTTTGTCTGAATGTGTGCCGACGGTGACACGGACCGGTGAGATGGCAACCTCTGGGCCGAATACCCCCTCTGAACTTTCAGCACTCTGAAAAAATCCGAAACAAACAACTTGGCAACATGTAGCAGAACAATTCAGCGATTCACGAGTCGCCTAACGACAAGGTCTCGTCTCCCATCGCACTGGCTGCTACACCACCACCAACAACGCAAGTGCCGTAGAATATTGGCACGATGCTCATCAGGTTTGACCGGCATTGCTAACACGCTGTGGATAGTGAGGTTTGTGGTAGGTTAGGAGGTTGGTGAGTTGCGGCTTGCGGGAGGCTACATGGGAACAAAAATCAATCAATACATGGTAGGCAATCGCGAGTTACCTGCAAAAAAACAAAGTAGTGTGACCATAATTAAGGTGAGTGTTATCAATTAAGCTGGACCATGGACGGCTGGACCTGACCGCGTCGGATTATAATAACCAAACACAAAAACGGGTGTTTTCATGACTCGCCCAGCCAACAAAGTATCCAAATGTTTTTTTTCTTCTTCTTATTCTTCTTTGCGAAAAGGACCTCAGGATAACATTGATGATTCAGATGTAGTACAAAGCACCCTAAAAATAAATAAATTTACAACAAGGTCCTCAGACCACCTCACGAAGACTACGCTCGCCGGAGCGAGTTGAGGGCGTGGCACCGCCGCTACACTCCTCCCGGAGCCAACACCTTTTTGAAGTCAGCCATGGCAGATGGGAAGTCTCCAACTTCGGCCACCAAGGACCAGCACACCGGAGCAATAACCATCATCGAGGAATCACCACGCGTATCCATAGATCATCCCTACTTGCACACCAGGACTCTGCCACCGCGCTAAAGATGGGGAATACACCGACACCATGACGGGGAGGGAGGGCAGAACAAAACTCACAAGACGAAGATGCCGACGTCGCTTCGCCTCCCTGTTTGATCGAAGAACCAGAGCATCCAGAGACCCACGATGAGCAAAATTATCCCACTGAACGTCGCTGCCACCAACGGACATGGGATCCAAACTACTGTTTGATACGTAGATCAAGGGAGAGCAATTGTCGGATTCAGGGCTCCGCAGACCCAATAAAGGTTCGAACTCTGGGACGTGTGCGAAGAACTCAACCTCTCAAGCCAACTGATCGTCGCTTTCCCGGCCTAGCTCAACGAACGGGGAAGGAAAGAGAAGCGGCAGTTTACTCAGGTTCGGGCCATCTTGCGGTGTAAGACCATACTCCTACTTTCGGGTGGATTAGCCTCGCGAGGGGCTGAGGATGAACTACTACAAAGGAAGAACAACCTCAGAAGGACTGTTCTTGTGTAGGTGTGAGCAAGAGAAGTCTCTCTCTCCTACGGTGGTGGCTCAGCTATATTTATAGTGGCATTGGTCCTCTTCCCCCAAATGAAGGCGGGAAGGGATCCCACAATGGCCAATTTTGAAGGGGGACAGGAAGTACATCCTATCCTGACAAAAGGTCGTCTTCGCCTGCAAAGCTTCCGGTCGTGACGCCACGGTGGGCTCGGTGATAACATCCGTCCTGGCGGTTTTAGTCTCGTTGCACCTGCGCTTGCATCCTTAGCACCAAAGAGGAAACCTGCTGCTTTGCGCCCGCTGGCGCCCGTCTAGCCTTGGTCGTCATGACTTGCGTCACCTCGGCCTCATGAGGTGAACGCTTGCATAGAAGTCTCCGCTCCCCAGGAGCCAGCCTAGGGAGGTCGCTTCCTCCGGAGGTCTTGGTGTCGTCCGTCTCGCGAGGGTCTTGTCTTACCGAAGTTGAAGATGGGCCGTACCAGGCCGTCAATAGAGCCACGCCGTGGGCTGCAGGCAGGCAGGTCTGGATACCCTAGTTCCCAGAACACCGATAGCAATGCCGCCCTCATGGCGGGAAAACCAACACCGACACGGGAGAAGGGAAGTGGCAGATTTATTTCTCCAGATCGGCGACGAACCCTTCTCCAAATCGACACCTACATGGCATGTCTACACGCCTAAAGAAGATGAGCGAGTCCCCAACTCCCCCCGCCGCGGAAGCAAGCAGGGGAGGCAGGGATCCGCTCCCTCGCCGGCGGGTAGAGGGGCCTCTTGCAGACACTCTTTATTCCACTTTCGGATCTCTCGCATGCTAAATCAGACTGTTTATTTCTTCTTCTAAATGTTAAAAATCCGACGTCGGATTTCCAGCTTTTGCCAGCGAACATCTAGATTGGACATGTGAAAACAGATAAATTTATCATGCCGCCGTGCAAAATTTACCATGTTCTAAAGTAGAACTTTATGTAGTGTAAAAAACTACTATCAGAAAATATCGTCGCGCTACAATAAATAATTCTATGTGTTTGATCGGGATCCGACGTACCTGCGGGTTCCTTTCCTTTTCTTTTCTTTTTAGGACAACAAGGACACAAAAGCTGATGTTTCCCCGGACTCGGATGGGCTCCCGAGCCGGAGTACGTCCTAATTCTAGCCAAGAACGCGGGCGCAGATATAAGCAGGGCGCAGATATAAGCAGAGCGCGGCTGATGTTAGGACGTACTCCGTCGGATTACAAAACTACCAAACACGTCGGCTCCGATCCAACCTGTGTTCCGAGCTACGAAGGCGACGCGAGCCGCCCCTACAAACCCACGTCGCCGCCAGCGGCACCACCAGATTCCCCAAGCCACCCAAAAATTTTGATTTTTGATTCTACCCGAGAGGAAGGCCGTCTGTCTGTCTGTCTGTCTGTCTCTCTTCCAGGGATCTCCGTGCAGCCTGGCGGCGATGGCGGCTGCGGCGCTGTTATCGGCTCCGGCGCCGGTGCCCCTGCCGGCGGTCTTCGCGGGGTGGTGGGAGCACGTGAACGGCTCGCCGGCGTGGCAGGACGGGATCTTCTGGGCCCTCGCCGCACTCTACGGCCTCATCGCCGCCTCCTCCTTCGTAAGCATCCAATCTGTCCTCGGAACAAACCTGTACCCCTTCTACTGCTAGGTTGGTGCCCTGGTGGCGAGGCAAGAGAATATTTGGCAGGGGTACCGATGAATAAATTTGTGATGTCACAACCAGCGATTTCACTAGAGAATAAAGGCTGTTTTTATTTGCTTTGTGGCTTGAGCATAATACTAGGCTTTTGTATGAAAGCCGATAATGCGAACGAATAGCATCTCACAGAGCTTTAGATCAATCAAGGGGAAAACTGTGATTCTGAATGCGGATAGGTGGACAAGGACCTGTGTTTGCTTTCATGCTTATCTCTCTCTAATCCATGAAAACCTTGGTGGATAAGAATGCGCTGGTAGCATCCGAATTATGCATATAATTCTATGAACTCTCAACTGTAAATACCTCGGTTTCTTGCAAATAAATAAATAAATATCTTAGTAAGGTTTATACTTGTCATGTACACATGCCAATGTTTACAGCTTGATGAATAAATTTACTCGAGGAAGAGAAGGCAATATTAACACTGTGCTATGTATGTGTATATGCAGATCCAAGTTGCCAGAATACAGCACAGAGTTCCTGAATATGGATGGACAACACAAAAGGTCTTCCAGTTCCTTAATTTCTTGGTTAATGGAGGTACATTGTTCAGTCTCAACTGGGGTAAAATTTGCATGCTCATTTATATCCCGTGTAATTCTAATTTTACTCTGTTGCTAATCTGCAGCAAGGTGTTCCATCTTTGCTTTCCGTCGTCAAGTGCAACTAGTGAACCCTCAGGTTTGGATAGCTTCATTATTTTCTGTCACTCGAATGAAATATTCAATTTGATTGATCAGAGTTTTAATCGTGTTTATTTTATTTCAGATCTTTCAGCATGTTATTCTTGATCTGCCGGGGCTTGCATTCTTCACTACCTATGCAATGTTGGCACTTTTCTGGGCTGAAATATCTTATCAAGCACGTGGTCTAGACACTGATGGCCTCAGATCAGGTTTCTATACTATTAACGGTGTCGTTTATGCGATGCAGGTAAAGCAGTTTTTTTTAATATAAATTTGCACTAAATATAAGACGTAATGACGTGATGTCTTTTGAACTGCAAAAATGTCTTATATTGTGGTAGATAGCTACTCCCTCTGTATCAAAATATAAGATGTTTTTGTTGTTCAAATTGAACTGCAAAAACGTCTTATCTTGGTAGAGAAGTAGTAGTATTTTGTATAGTTGTACGAGAACTATCTGACCCTAAACCCTATACATGTCAGGATGTTTTCCCTTTTATCGTACTGGTGAATCCTGAAAATTTATTCTTGTGAAAACTCTTTTCAATATGAAAAACTATGATACACTTACCATCGGTTAGACCAATAGTATATGTGGGTCATGTATGTCATGCATTTCGAGGTTTAACTGTAACCATCAATTAGACCGGTAATATATATGTGTTCTGTACTTATCTGCAATGGAAATTATAGCATCGAGGCAGATAAATTATATTGGTGGTCAAAGTTATGTGTGGATGCCGTATGTTTTGTCAGAGGGAGTAGTGCATATCTGGAACAGTATAACAGAAACAAATGCATGAAGGTAATAGGGAAATAGTTTGCACTTAGTCATTTATTGTAGTCTTTGATGGTTGGTGTTTTTTATTTAAATACTGACCCTCACATGCCTGTTCTACATGAGTTCTTCTCACTTAACTAACTGCTCCGTTCATCTGTTTTTATTATGTGTGCTCAATCACCGTTTGACTGCCTTGGCTGAAAATACTCGAATACATTTGCTTTCAGGTTTTGGTGTGGGTATTGTTGTGGTTGAATCCAAATTCATCTATGCTTGTGCTTTCAAAGTTATTCATTGCGGGACTTTCATTTTCCGCTGCTCTGGGTTTTCTGCTGTACGGAGGGAGGTAAGAATACCTCTTTCATAAAGTTTGAATTATGATTCACTTAGATCATGTTTACAGTCAAGTTAATCAGTGAGGCTAGCCGCAGTCTAGTAACGGTTCTGTAGTTTGGTACTGTAGACTATACCCATTTGTTTCAGGGTTTGATCTATTTAATTATACAATACAACTATAACACTATGGTACTAACTGTATCCGTGTGCTCCTGATTTGTTTGGCAGGCTATTCCTCATGTTGAAGCGTTTCCCTATCGAGTCTAAAGGGAGGCAACAAAAGCTGAGCGAGGTTGGCAGAGTGGCCGCTATTTGTTCCTGTTGCTTCTTGGCAAGATGCGTAATGGTGAGGATGTCTGTCCTCCGATCCTTGAACGAGATTGCAAGTCATATGGTTCATTTCTCACTGTTGCTGACGCACTTTTGTTTTTCTGCAGATGTGTTTCGCTGCCTTCAATAAAGATGCTGATCTGGATGTTCTTGACCATCCAATTCTGAATTTCATATATTACCTCGTATGTGTGACTTTTGCAGCTCATAGTCACCACCTCGTTTTATTTTTGCCTAGTCTATAAATTGAAACCATCATTGGCATTGATGTTAACCTCCTTTTTTCTACAGCTTGTCGAAATCGTTCCTTCGGCTCTTGTCCTGTACATTCTGCGGAGGATCCCTTCGAAGCTAAAGCTCGCACGTTACCATCCCCTCAGCAGCGGCTAGAGATAAAAGCGGTGTCCCCTTCTGAGCTGAAATATAGAGAAGTTGCTGCAAACATAGCTGAATGCGACCCCAAGACTTAAAAAGGGCTGGTCTATGGTCTGGTCGTTCAAAATGTGTATCTGAAATCTACGCGTGAACTTACCTTATGTAGCCACTAACTTGATAGTTTAAGGGTGCTAATTTCATGTAATTAATTACTGTTGGTGTGATTAGAAATCAAGCATCTTCACTTGTTGAGCAGGCAAAATTCCTCATAAGCTATTTTTGTTTTGAAAAACACAAAGCTTTATTCGTTTGAAATAACAGTTTGCATTGTTTATGAGGGGGTAAAATTTCGCTTAAAGCAACCTTATTAGTTTCCTTATTACAATGTTTGAAAGTAGCGAGACGAAAACCACAAGCAATAAAATAAAAAATCGTTAAAAGCAGTCACCACCGCTGCATCAGAACGCCCTCCATTCTTCATGGTACCTCTAAATTATCAAAGTTAATAACTAAGCGTGCAAGTTATAGGCCAATACTTAGAGCCAAGGCTTCGGCTGTCAGGATGTCCACGCACCAATCAATTTTCCAATTTCCTCTAGCCATGAATCTGCCTTTATCCTCTCTTAGGACAGCTCAAAAGAAAAGTTTAATTCAGTCGAAAAGTTCAACTGAAAAATGTAAAGACAAAATGTTAAATCATGTGCAGAAAGGTTAAATAATCTTATGCGCATTTTGGGTATTTTTTCAAATTTGTGTACCCCTAAATTTTTTTTCAAATTTGTGTGCATGACACAGTAGAGGAGTACTAGTCAGTTTTATTCGGCTTTCATCGAAAAGAGAAAAAGGAAATAAAAACAGAAGTAAAGAATAGTCGGAGGCGCCGACGCCACCTACCGCCAGGCTACCGAACAGCATAGAGCGTACCAACCGAAATTTCAATTCTTTTCTCCAGCAAACAAAACAAAACTCCGCCGCTGCTCTCTCCACCTCTGTCCTGTCCGTGATTTATACAAACTCAAACCTTGGTAATCTCCGCGCCGCAAACCCTAGCCGCCGCCATGGCCTTCCTCGCCGGCGCAGCCTCCATCCGCAGCCCCTTCGCCCTCGTCTCCTCCTCCCGGCGCCGGTACGATCTACCCACGGCCGTGAAGGCCACCACCAATTCGAATTCGGTTCCCCGCCACCCCATCATCTCCTCCCTCCGCCTCGCCGCCTCCGCCGCGGTCCTCCTCGCGGCCACCTCCCCGGCCATCGCGTGCACGCCGCCCCCGCCTCCGCCCCCCGCGCCCACCGTCACGGTCTCGCCCGAGGACGCCATCCAGGACGACTCCCACCTCTTCGAGAAGCTCATCATCGAGACCGCCGCCCTCTCCCATGTCAGCGGCGCGGAGGCCGCGCGGGCCCGCCTCTCCGCCGCCGGAGGCGGCGAGGACTATGCTCGGCTCCTCGCAGCGCAGACGCTCTTCGTGGACGGCAAGGCCGACGAGGCGATCGCCGCCTTCGAGGAGCTCGCGCGGGAGGACCCCGGCGACTACCGCCCCCTGTTCTGCCAGTACGTTCTGTACTCTGTTCTGGGCAGGGCGGCGGAGTCGGAGTCGATGCTCGAGCGCTGCCAGGCGATCGCCGGCGACAAATTCAGCGCCAATTTGACAATGCCGATCTCGGCGACCAAGGAGGTGGAAGCAGCAGCAGAGGCAGAGGCTGAGCCCGTGACAGAGAAGACGGAAACAGAGGCGGAGGGGGAGAAACTGTGAGTGCAGCGGATTTGGAATCATCACCAAATAAGGTAGGCATTTGCTCCCTTTCTTTTGAAGGAAAATATAGGTTGGAACGCCATGATGATGCTCTAATGGTACAGTAGAATCATACAAACAGAGAGAAATTCGAGACGGCAATTCCTGTTTTGCAGTTCTGATATGTAGGCTAAGAATTATGCAATTTACATGGTTTGAGAATAAGTCGAGGCGATCATGGTAAGGTGATCGATTTTGAGAGTGTTGATAAGTACAGTCTATACTTCTGCTGTACACCACTAATTTGTGGAATGGATACATTGCTTCATTTATTTGTTCTCTTACATCATGATGAAATTGCTGGAATATAATGCCAAGGAGTGAAAAATCTATAGGAAATGGTCACCTAGGTCGTGGGCTTCTCGAGCAGCGCTGAGAGGTACCACTCGTTCCTCTTGATCCCTTGGTCCAGCTTCCGTCTGGCATTCTACCGCACCTTGTTGAAACCGATTTGATTGAACATGGGCACATATGTTGTGTTCATTTGCGTGCCGAGGCAGAAGAAGTGGTCGAGCCAGAACAATCCTCCGGGCCTCAGCACTCTGTAAATGTCAAACAAGGTGAACTCGAGCATGGCATCGGGGATCCAGTGGCTAAGCACATGCATCGAATGCACAATGTCGAGCGTGCCATCAAAGAACGGTAGCCGGTGCGCGATGCTCAGGTGCATGGGGAGAAGACCCCGCGAAGCTATGAAGTTATTGAATGGGGCATCGAAGTTCATGGACGTGGTCACCACGGTCACCCCACGCTCCTGCATCCGTGCAGCAAACGTGCCTGATCCACCCCCAATGTCGAGCCCAATGCGCACCGTGCCATTTGGCTTTGTTGCAAGCACGGCATCAATGGAGTATGAGAGTGCACCGTCGTCGCGCATCCACCGGCCCTTCTCCCGGCCGCTGAGCAGGTCGAAGCAGTCTTTGCAGTCGTAGGAACCCTTGGTCTTGCGGCGGTTGACAAGGCAGGAGTAGTTCTTGCACGTGTACTCGTCCCACACGATGCTGGTGTCTGGCGGCATGGCCCACAGGCTCGCTGGCAGTGGTGTGGGCTCAGCATACCCTATCGGGCGGCGTGGCCGGCATCTCCGTCGTGGCAATGGCTCGCAGCCCTTGAGCATGAGCCGCTGTGCAAACTGCTCATTGGACGGACACTCGCCACCGGGCTTGTAGTCCATATAGCGCTCCAGCTCGTCCGGGAAATGGTGGCACGCTTGCCCCACCGTCGGGAACAGCTGATCGGACCCCAGGTTCTTCGTGAAGCCTAATGGCAGTTTGTGGGGGCCGACGGCCAGCTGGAGCTCGCTGGTGAGCTCCCATTGCCACAGTCCGTCAACCCCGACATGCTTCTGCTCATCCCTGGCGGCTGCCATGTCGCTGGCAGTAGCCTTTAGGCCCAGGAGCGTCTCGACAAGGGAGTTTGCCGTGGCGAGGTGGTCGTGCAGGTGCACGAGCTCATCGTGGCTCGCAGCGAGAGCGTAATCCGTGATGTTACCGGAGTTCCAGAAGGGGACGCTGCGGTTGTGCTCGCCGGAGCCATTGCCAACTAAGTAACTGGCGTCGGAGAAGAGGAGGAAGGTGGCTGTGTTGGTGGCGACGACGATAAGTAGAACCAGGGCCCTGGACCTGCAGCTGTTGTGCTGCCGATCTCTAGGTTTCCTGGACATGTGGTAGTCCATGCTGCGCATGTTGCAACAACAACTAAAGCAGCACAAGGAAACTCAAAATGCCTCTTCTTGTGTTTGTAATGAGGACGATGCTTTTATAGAAACTGTGCTATCCCACTACTCCTTTCTTTTACTACGACTCTTACTAAAAATGTTTAGAGTCCAACCTCACCTCACAGTTGACAGTTTAGAACTGGGGTGTTGCTTGACAGGTGAGAAAAGTAGACAGGCTCAAGTTGGAATCTCGTGATTCAACGGCTCAATGCTAGTGATTGGGCTAGACTGATGGACTTTCAGTATGAGCGTGCATCGTTCACTGAAACCCGGCGCTTAAGATGAGCCAGTGGGCTTTGACGCGACAGTTAGGATATTTGTGTGGATGCTGGTCATCCGCGCTTCTAGACATGTATATCATACTAATAAAGATTGCTGCACTAAGAAGTGTAAATAGTTGTGACAATGAAGCATGTTCTTGAGGCAATCTTAAGAGTCTTCCAACACATCAGCACAAGACAGAGAGACAGACACTAGGTAAAGGTTGGTTGCAGTCGTGGCTGCATCCAATTGTTACTACTACCGTCTTGCAGAGCACATGGCTGGTAATTCCCTCTGCTCGCGATCGCCAGCGACATTCAGCGCCAATTTAACAATGTGATCTCGGCAACCAAGGAGGTGGAAGCAGGAGCAGAGGCAGAGGGAGAGTCCGTGACAGAGAAGGCGGAAACAGAGGCGGAGGGGAAGAAAATGTGGGTGCAGTGGATTTGGAATCACCAAATAAGGTAGGCATTTGGTCCCTTCTTTTGAATTGAAGGAAAAATATAGGTTGGAAAACCAATAAACCATGATGCTCTCATTTTTTTTTTTGCGGGATACCATGATGCTCTCATGGTACAATAGAATCATACAAACAGAGAGAAATTCGAGACGGCAATTCCTGTTTTGCAGTTCTGATATGTAGGCTAAGAATTATGCAGTTTACATGGTTTGAGAATAAGTTGAAGCGATCATGGCAAGATGATCGATTTTGAGAGTGTTGATAAGTACAGTCTATGCTTATGCTGTACACCACTAATTTGTGGAATGGATACATTGCTTCATCTACTTGTTCTCCTGCATCATGATGAAACTGCTGGAGTATAATGTCAGAGAGTGAAATAGCAAATGGTCACTTAGGTGGTGGGCTTTTCGAGCAGCGCTGAAAGGTACCATTCGTTCATCTTGATCCCTCGGTCCAGCTTCCGTCTCGCATTCCACCGCACCTTGTTGAAACCGATTTGATTGAACATGGGCACATACGTCGTGTTCATCTGTGTGCCGAGGCAGAAGAAGTGGTCGAGCCAGAACAATCCTCCAGGCCTCAGCACTCTGTAGATGTCGAACAACGCGAACTCGAGCATCACATCAGGGATCCAGTGGCTGAGCACATGCATCGAGTGCACGATGTCGAGTGTGCCGTCGAAGAACGGTAGCCGGTTCGCGATGCTGAGGTGCATGGGGACAAGACCCCGTGAAGCTATGAAGCTATTGAATGGGCCATCGAAGTTCATGGACGTGGTCACCACGGTCACCCCACGCTCCTGCATCCGTGCAGCGAATGTGCCTGACCCGCCGCCAATGTCAAGCCCGATGCGCACTGTGCCGTTTGGCTTCGTTGCAAGCACGGCATCGATGGAGTATGAGAGTGCACCGTCGTCGCGCGTCCACCGGCCCTTCTCCCGGCCGTTGAGCAGGTCGAAGCAGTCTTTGCAGTCGCAGAATCCCTTGGTCTTGCTGCGATTAGCAAGGCAGGAGTAGTTCTTGCACGTGTACGCGTCCCACATGATGCTGGTGTCCGGCGGCATGGACCACAGGCTCGCCGGCAGTGGTGTGGGCTCGGCGTACCCTGCCGGGCTGCGTGTCCGGCACCGCCGCCGTGGCAGTGGCTCACAGCCCTTGAGCATGAGCCGCTGTGAGAACTGCTCGTCAGACGGACACTCGCCGCCGGGCTTGTAGTTCATATATCGCTCCAGCTCGTCCGGGAAACGGCGGCACGCTTGCCCCACCGCCGGGAACAGCTGATCGGACCCCAGGTTCTTCGTGAAGCCTAATGGCAGTTTGTGGGGGCCGACGGCCAGCCGGAGCTCTCCGGTGAGCTCCGGCTGCCACAGTCCGTCGGCTCCCGCATGCTTCTGCTCGTCCCTGGCGGCTGCCATGTCGCTGGAAGTGTCGTTTATGCCCAGGAGCGTCACGACAAGGGAGCTTGCCGTGGCGAGGCGATCGTGCAGGTGCAGGAGCTCGTCGCGGCTAGCGGCCAGCGCATACTCCGTGATGTTGATGTCGCGGAATGACAGCTTAGTCGACTTCCAGAAGAAGCCGTGCTCACCGGAGCGAATGCCGATTGCGGAGCTGGTGTCGGAGAAGAGGAGGAAGATGGCGGTGTTGGTGGCGACGGCGATAAGTAGAACCAGGGCCCTGGACCTGCAGCTCTTGTGCTGCTGATCTCGAGGCTTCCTGGACATGTCATGGTCCATGCTGCGCACGATCCAGCAGCTAAAGCAGCACAAACTGGAAGCTCAAAATGTCTCTTCTTGTGTTTGTAACGAGGAGGATGATGCTTTTATAGAGAATTTGTGCTACCTACTCCCTCTGTAAACTAATAAGATCTTTTAGATCACTAAACTAAGTAAGTTCAGAGTCTTTTGACAGTAGTTATGGTGCGTTGTTAATTGGATGCTTAGAAGTTAGAATCTCGTGAGCAAAGTTGATGGGCTCAAGTTGGAATCTCGTGATTCAACGGCTCAATGCTGCTGGTGATTGGGCTAGACTGAAGGACTTTTAGTACAGTAGTATGAGCGTGCATCGTTCACTGAAACCCGGCGCTTAAGATGAGCCAGTGGGCTTTGACGCGACAGTTAGGATATTTGCGTGGATGCTCGTCATATGCCCTTCAAGACATATCATACTGATAAAGGTTGCTCCATTAAGAAGTTTAATAAATATGTTCTTGAGACAATATTGACAGTCTTGAACACAGCAGTACAAGACACACTAGGGAAAGGTTGGTCGCAGTCGTCGCCGCATCAGAGTTACTACTACTGTCTTGCAGAGCACACGGCTGGTAATTTCTTCTGCTCGCCGACGACCAGACAACCGTGCAAGCTTTTCTTGTAGCAGCATCCAGAATTTCACACGTACTTTGTCTTGGATTTCTGCAGCAAAAACATGGTGTTTATTTAGAGAGAGAAGAAATGCCTGAAGTAAAAAACGCCGTCAGCTAATTGGCACCAGGATTTGTGCACGGGGTTTGGTTGTTTCGTACCCCGGACCGTGACCCGCCGATGCGGAGGTTGCCCATCTCCATGCTCAGCGCGCTCTCCACTTCGTCGAGCTCGATGACGGCCTTGACGATCGCGCCCGAGAGGTCCTGGTCGTCGTTGGCGTCGAAGAAGCAGCCCCTCTCCTTGGCGTCAGTCACTATCTTCTGCCACACCGTCTTGCTGCTCACCAATGTGGTCGCGTTCCCTACGATCCACAGACAGTGCCTGCGCAAGCAAACACAAAATCACATGCAGCTCATGGAGGAAAATGCTGCAGGCGAACCGGGGAGCTCGACTCGGCTCACTTGGCCCGTGTGAGCGCGACGTTGGTGCGGTTCACGTTGTTGAGGAAGCCGACGGTGCCGGTGCTGTTGCTCCGCACGGTGGAGAAGATGATGATGTCCTCCTCGGCGCCCTGGAACCCGTCCACCGACCGGACCTTCACCGAGAACCCGCCGTGCATCTCGTACGTCTTGCCCAGCTTCTCCTGGATGGCGCGGACCTGGCCCTTGTACGGCGACACCACGCCCACGCTAAGCTTCCTCCTCGTCTCCACCGACTCTACGAGCATGCACAAATCATCCATTCATCTCTTCGGTGGCCAAAGCAATGGAGAAAGAATTCATCCATGGATTCAGAGTGAAGCTAAGCTAGCGTGCGTGCGTACCTCTGAAGAGCCTCTGCACGATCCGGGTCACGGCGGCGACCTCGATGGTGTTGATGAGGCTCTTGTCGTGCTTGCCGGAGCTCTCCTTTCCGCCTTCGATGTTGATGAAGGAGTAGGACCCGTACATCGGGCCGGTCAGGTGCTTGCGCTCGTAGTCCCTGCGCAGGACGTTCTCGCCGTCGTCGATCTGGCCGCCGTAGAAGCTCGAGACCGGGAACTTGCTTATCCCCGGGTGCATCCTGTACTGCACGTTAAGAAGGTGCTTGGGGTGCCCCAGCGAACTCAGCCTCTCGAACAGGCTCCTCCCGAAGTCGGCTTCATCACACACCTGCACGCAACGCAAGAGTTAGCTAGCGATCAACGGGCAAAACAACCAACAAAAGCACCAAGGACAATGCCGTGTCACCTGGCTCTTCACGAGCGCCGGAAGCTGGTACTCATCGCCGATGAGAACGGCGAGCCGGATCCCAGGAATCTGCAGAGGTATCATCGACTCGCACTCCTTGAGCTGCGCGGCCTCGTCGACGACGAGGATGTCGAACGGCTCGGCCTTCTGCAGGTAGTGCAGGCGGGCGGAGCTGGACGCGGTGCAGAGCACGCTCTTGCTCTTCTGCAGCAAGAACTCCTCGATGGACCGCTTGTCGAAAATGCCCGGGAGGTCGAAGTTGTTGGACAGGTGATTCAGCTTCTCGACGCACTGGGCTCTCGCTTGCTTAAGTTCTGAGCGCACGCTGTCTTCCGCGTATGACACCAGACTCTGAAACAGGCAGCTGTTCTTCCCGTCCGACGTGTCTCTGAACAGCGTCTGCAGCTGCTTCTCTGGCTCGGACTGCACTTGTTTCCCAAACTCTGTAAGCAGGTGCAGAACCTCCGTCATGCAACGGAAATTCTGCCTAGATGTGGCTGATCTTGGGAGATCGTCGCGGAAAGTCTCGATGCAGGTGCGGAGCTCATCCTCGATTCGTTTGTAGCTACTCGTGAAATATTCTTTGAACGACTGTATCTTTATGCTTTTCTTATCTGCTTCCTTCTTAGCAACATCCTCCTTCACCTCCACCCCTTTGTTCTTCGCCTTCTTCTTCGCAAGTTCCTCTTTTTCTTTCTTGGCAAGTTCCTTGATCAGCCTTTCAGTGTGCTCAACGTAGGAAGCATACTGAACCAAAGGTTCCTCGAGAATTCGTACCATAGAGCTCAGGCAGCTGGTCCACCCCGAACCTGGCGTCAAGCACTTCTGGAGACGGCGAACGCGCTTCTCCAAGAAAATCTTCGTGAGGTCCTGATCGACGTTCATCCTATCCTCATTTCCGAACAGGACAACATCACTCAGAAAGCAGCCATTTCCACCGCCAGCGGAGGATTCTCCGATGAGGCTGAGGATCCGAGACGCGACCTCCACCACCGCAGTGTTGGTCGGAGCACAGGTCAGCGTTCTGTGGTTCTTGACCATCATGGACCACAGGAGCGTGCTGATCGTCTTCGTCTTCCCTGTGCCGGGAGGCCCCCATATCAGACGCACCGGATATGTACCCTGCTGCTCCATTGCTGAAACACAGTCAAGTACTGCCATCTGCTGTGACCTGTTTAGCCTAAATTTTTCAAGGCCAAGTGATCTGTCTGGCAAATGTAGAGGTAGTTCTGAACTGTCCTCCTGGCCAACCACCATCAAAAAAGTAAACACACATTTACATTGCTTAAAGATGTAGTTCCTACAAGATAAAATTAAAGCCTGTCGAATGTAAATTGGAGTACAAACCTTTGGAGCATAACGTACAATCTTCTCAATGATGCTAGTGTTCCTGAGACCAGCAACATGCATGTCCAGTGCATTCCATATACGATTGTACGTTGTCATGTTGATCAGGAACACCGCGACGAGGGGCGGCACAAGGTCCCGTTTCCCGCCTGACAGCCTCACGATCGCATTGCCGTTGGCGTCCTCTGCTTTCAGCACCGAGGCAATCACATAGGGCACCTTGCTGCGCCCCAGGTCCGAGATGTGCCTCGGCTTCCTATCCAAGAACACAAGTATGTCTGCATCCTTGAGGGCATATACTTCCCCCGGGTTTGTGTTCATAGGGTCAGCCTTCTTGACCAAGATGCTGAAGATGGACTGCTTTGAACAAAGCTCGTCGATCCGTTTCACTTCAGTGGCTGGTGCGTGTTTGATACACTCCAGCGCAGAGTAGAGATCGGCACGAGTTTCTTCAATCAGTGGTAGGGTAAATGATCCCATGTACTCCTCTAGTGAAGTGAAAGTTCTTGGTACCTTCTTAACCTGATGTAAATGCAACAGAATAAGACTAGAGCACAGAACACAGAGTGCAGGACCGAGCCAACTGTGCACAACAAAACAGTAGTACTCCTTACAGTTATTAAGAAAACTAACATATTTACAGTTATTAAGAAAAGCTTAATAAATCTGATAGAACAATTGAAGAACAAAATATAGGAGATACATAAGAAATACCTAGCTGGTCCATGAATTATATGGGCTTCAGGGTGATCTTTCCGCTAGGAGATGGTAGCTCGGGATATCTTCAACCGGTTTGGATGGCGGTCATGTAATAGGATAGGCGTTTAGTTTACCTACCTAGCTTTAGCCAACCGGTTGTGGCGTCTGTTCATGGCTAGTTGGTGTTTCTAGCCTCTTTTTAGCTCTATGTGAGCTTTCTTTGCTTTTCATTACTTTTGGAGACTTTGGAACCTTGTTGGCACTTCTTTATTTGGTTAATAAGATGGCCGTATGCATCATTCTGATGCAGAGGCCGGGGAGTCCCCCTTTTCGAAAAAAAATATGGGCTTCAGGGTGAATATATTTATATTTGTTCCATGAATGTGTATTTGACCTTTACAGTTTGATGAACATACTATGCTCAGATTGATAGATCTTTTATCAAACCTTATTGATCAGTTATGTTTCCTTTCAGACGTATACTGGTATTTTGGGACGACGCGTCTCAGATACTTACTATTTTCTAACAAAACCAAAGCATCTTACAAAATCCTATAAAAAATGTACTGAAAATTCTAACAGAAACGAAGTGCATGCTTTGACACTAAAACGCCTATAACAAATCTGTCTGCACGAAAGGTAGACACTTATTTTTTGACGATCGAACATGCATTGATTATTCAGAAGTGTAGAAGAGACATCTGCTAACTTGCCTATGTAACACCTAGGCAATCATCTCGAAAACAAAGGAAGATAAACAGGAAGAACAAGCTACGTAACTGAGAAGAATTACCTTTTTCTTGAGAAGATTCCTGTTGCGCACCTGCTCAAATGACCACGAGAACATCTGCTTCTCCATCTCGGTCTGCGTCCACATGCTGTACCTGCTATCATTTGCCGCCCGTGCAGTCATTTCGCTTCCCTGCCGCACGAGCACGAGGTCGTCGTCGTCGTCGTAGCTGTCATAGCTGTAGAAGCTCATCTTGCCACTCCCGCGCCGCCGGGCTCCGGCGAGAGAAGTTTTTGATCGGTCGCAGGCCTTGCAAATGCGTGGGGCTTGGTTTCAGGTTGCAGCAAGGTGTGTCGCCGTCGACGATGGATATAAAAGGGCACGCACGGTAGCGGGCCGGTGGGATTCCGTCTGCCTGTCAATTAATTCTGGGTTGGGATGCGAAGAGCCAAGCGCTTAAGGTTGATTTACGCATTTACACCTTTCAGCTTCCCGGCAGCCGCAACGAATAGGACGAGCAGTAGAGGCGGAGATTTTGGAATTTCACGAGGCATAAGATAGAAAATCAGTGCTACCGTAGTACTACGAAGCTTCGTGTTGCCAAGTCCCCCGCGTGCAAGTGTGATGCATATTGTGGGAGCATTGCTTTCAGACTGCATGGTGGTTGTCAGTGACATCAAGCAAAGGAATGCAGCAAGTTATGGTGCGATTATACATGAAATATCGGACCATTCTACTGCTTTTATTTCTCGTAAAATAGTTCATGAATTTAGGAGCTCACAATTTAGAGAAGCGCTCTCTTGCACTCGGTGGTGGCCGTCATATTTGGTTAGGTCATGCCGGCAATCTCCCATCTGTCCATGTAAACGTTGTGACAAATTAATAAAAACTTTGCGAGTTTGTTTAAAAAAACAAATATTGCTTAACATGATAAAAAATTGATGGTCAAAAGTCTTTGCAATTTAACATGGGGAATACTAATTTCCTCGGTGTTTAAAGTTGGCTGCAATTTAACATGGGGAATGCTAATCTCCTCGGTGTTTGAAGTTGGGCAAACATCACACACTAAAAAGAAGAAGGTAGTGAAGCCAAAGGTCCGGCATTCACACAATTTGAAGATGTTTTATTGGTTGATAGTTGGTTGAACACTAGCATGGATCCGATATGTGAAAAAAGGCGAGAAATATTGGGAAAAAATTCACATATTTTATCATGAGCAAAAACACCCTGTGAGGTCACACCCAATCAATACAACATAGTTTGTCCACCATCCAAGAAAATGTGAGCAAATTTGTTGGTTTTCACAAACAAGCTGTTAGCCGGAACCAAAGCGGCATTGGACTTCAAACCCATGCAACTTTGACGAGGACTTTGTGCCATCAACCCGAGAAGAAGCCATTCAATATGTCACATTGTTGGATGAAATTGAACGGAAAACCTAAGTGGCAAACCGTCCTCGAGGAGATTGAAAGCAGCACGAAGAAGATGAAGAAAAATCTATGGGTCTAGTTCCACTATCGATTGGATTGGATGACGAAGAAGAAGAAAATGGTGGGGCAGACATACAAGTCACTATGCCGAGAGAAAAATGGTAGGTGATAGGGAACAAGTGGGAGAAGGACAGGTGTTAGAGTATGTAATGGGCCTAATGGCTGATGACCCACAAGTATAGGGGATCAATTGTAGCTCTTTTTGATAAGTAAGAGTGTCGAACCCAACGAGGAGCAGAAGGAAATGACAAGTGGTTTCCAGTAAGGTAATGTCTGCAAGTGTTGAAATTGTAAGTAGCAGTGTAGTTTGATAATAAGATAATTGGTAACGAGCAGGTAATGATAGTAGTAACAAAAGTGCAGCAAGGTAGCCCAATCCTTTTGAGGCAAAGGACAAGCCAAATGGTCTTTTATGATAAGCAAAGCGTTCTTGAGGGTACACGGGAATTTCATCTAGTCACTTTCATCATGTTGGTTTAATTCGTGTTCGGTACTTTGATAATTGATATGTGGGTGGACCGGTGCTTAGATGTTATTCTTACTTGAACAAACCTCCTACTTATGATTAACCCTCCCGCAAGCATCCACAACTACGAGAAAAGTATTAAGAATAAATTCTAACCATAGCATTAAACTTTTGGATCCAATCGATCCCTTGAAATAGCGCATAAACTGGGGTTTAAGTTTCTGTCACTCTAGCAACCCATCATCTAATTGCTACTCCATAATGCATTCCCTTAGACCCAAATATGATGAAGTATCATGTAGTCGACGTTCACATGACACCACTAAGGGAATCACAACATACATACTATCAAAATATCGAACACATATCAAATTCACATGATTACTTGCAACATGATTTCTCCCGTGACCTCAAGAACAAAGGTAACTATTCACAAATGATAAACATGCTCATGATCAGAGGAGTATTAAATAGCATATTGGATCGGAACATATAATCTTCCATCAAATAGACCATATAGTAATCAACTAAAAGATGTAATCAACACTACTAGTCACCCACAAGTACCAATCTATAGTTCCGGTAACAAGATTGAACACAAGAGATGAACTAGGGTTTGAGAGGATATGGTGTTGTTGAAGATGTTGATGGAGATTGCCCTCCTCAAGATGGGAGAGTTGTTGGTGATGATGATGACGATGATTTCCCCCTCAGGGAGTGAAGTTTCCCTGGCGGAATCGCTCCGCTGGAGGACAAAAATGCTCCTGCCCAAGTTCCGCCTCGAGGCGTTGGCGCTTCGTCCCAAAAGTCCTATATTTTTTTAGGTCAAAATGACTTATATACCAAAAGATTGGCACCGGAGGTGGGCCGAGGGGAGCACAACTCACCAGGGTGCGCGTGGGCTCGCTGGCGTGCCCAGGTGGGTTGTGCCCACCTGGTAGGCCCCCTCTGGTACTTATTGGCTCCAATAATTCTTATATATTCCATAAAAAATTCTCGTGAAGTTTCAGCTTGTTTGCAGTTGTGCAAAATAGGTAGCCTGACGTAGCTTTTCCAGATCCAGATTTCCATCTACCAGAATTCTCCCTCTTGGTGTGTACCTTACAAATTATGAGGTAAAAGGCATTAGAATTACTCAAAAAGAATTATTATATATAAAAACATTATAAATAACAGTAAGAAAACATGATGCAAAATGGACATATCAACTCCCCCAAGCTTAGACCTCGCTTGTCCTCAAGCGAAAACCGAAATCAAAAAACATGTCCACATGTTTTGAGAGAGAGGTGTCGATAAAAACAAAATACGGACATAGAAGCATCATGTTGACTATTATAACAACAACACAATTAAACATAGGGCTTTTATCATATACTTCTCATGAATAAGTAATAGTTCATCACACGATCCAAGTATAAAGCAAAAACTCTATTAGAAACCAACAAACTATGTTCTCAGTCAACTTTGCAACTACAATTCATCATCTTTTCAGGAAGGGTCACGTGTCGGAGCCTTTAGGAATGTCCACATACTCAACCATCATATAGTCTTCTATGATTGCTAATACTCACCGCGTACACATGAGCAAAACGTTTCAACCGTACACATAGAAAGATAGGGGCTTATGGTTTCGCCTCCCAACGTACTCACCTCAAAGGTGATGTCAACAATAATAACTCATGCCACCCATATTCAACTGGACATATGTTCCTAGATCTTTCCTCACCACATGATGCTTGCCAAAGGAGAAAAATAAAAGGAATACAGAGAAAAACTTTGACTCTTGCATAAAAGTAAAAGATAGGCCCTTCGCAGAGGGAAGAAGACGTTGCCATGCGCTTATTTGTTTGTATGCTCAATCCCTTAGTGCAAAAGAACGCCATGTTACATTGCCCCTTGTGATAGCGACCTTTATTATGCAGTCTGTTGCTTTTATTCTTCACCATCACAAGTTCGTGCAACGCTCAATTTTCTCTTACACTAAATGATCTCACATTTTTAGAAGCAATTTTTATTGCCTTTTTGCACCGATGACAACTTACTTGAGGGATCTTGCTCACTCCCTAGGTAGGTATGGTGGACACTTGAAAATGAG